CCTGTCCATGGCAGGGAGTGGAATGAGATGATCCTTAAAATCCCTTCCCACCCAAACCATTCCAGGACTGTGATTCCAAGCCAAACCATTCCAAGACTGTTATTCCAACCCAAACTACTCCAGGATTCTACAATTCCAACCCAACCCATTCCAGGACTGTGATTCCAAACCAAACCATTCCAGGATTCTATGATTCCAACCCACTGTGATTCCAATCCAAACCATTCCATGACTCTATAATTCCAAACCAAACCATTTCAGGATTTCACAATTCCTCCCTTTGAATCCATTCACTTTTCCAAGCCCTTCCTTCCTGATTCCTCCTTGCTTTTAGGATCAGGAAGGAGTATCCAATGCTCTAATTTCCCCAATTTAAGAGGGAAAAGCGGAGGCTGGAAGCAGCGAAACCGCTGGGAAAACACCGACAGATCCCCGTCACCGAGTTTTACATGGAATTTGGGAAGCGATTCCAGGCCAGGCCAGGCCTAAAGCTCCCGCTTTGCGCATCGATTCCCCCAACTGGATGGGATTTGTTCTTTTTACTGTCACGGGAAGCACATGTTCCGAGCAAGCTGTTCCCTCATCCCAAGCCTTCCCCGGCTGCCTGGGAAGGAAAAATCCCGGCACACTTTCCCCCCGGAAAGCAAGAGGTGATCATAAATATCCCTAAATAGCGTTCAACAGATCCGAGAGACATTAACACTTCCCCAATGCCAAAGGAGGCTCGGGAAAAAAATAATCGGAACAGATGCTCCGGGGTCAGCGAGGGAAACGCCTTTCCACAAAAAACACCCTCCCTGAATCCCAAATGAACCAGGAGCGCCGAGCGAGGGGCTGCAGCACCGCGGGAGCGGGGGAAGGGGACGGGGCTGGCACAGGAGCTGGGCCTCGGAGGGGTCTGGGAACTGAGAGGAGAGAGGGGAACAGGGAATGTCCCACCTGCTGCAGATCCCAGGCCTGCTCCGGCTCCTGCTTCTGCTCCTGGTCCTAATCCCAGTTCTGCTCTTGTTCCCACTCCACGTCCTCCTCCTAATCCTGCTCCTGCTCCAAGTCCTGCTCCTGGATCCTGCTCCCAGTCCTGCTCCTGCTCCCGGTCCTGTTCCTGGCCTGGTTCTCACTCCCAGCCCCTGCTCCTGGTCCTAATCCTCATCCTGGTTTTACTCCTGGTCTCGATCCCACTCCTTCTCCCAGTCCTAGTCCCAGCCCTGGTTCTGCTCCTGCTCCTAATCCTGGTCCTGGTCCCAGGGAGGCCTTGGAGGCCCTTCCAGGGCCTAAAGGGGCTCCAGGAGAAGCTGGAGAGGGACTCGGGACAAGGGATGGAGGGACAGGACACAGGGAATGCTTCCCACTGGTTTAGATGGGATATTGGGAAGGAATTCTTCTCCCTTCCAGGGATAACTCCTTCCTGAGCATCCCGCCCTCCACTCCCATCCCATGTCCAATCCCTTCTGGATAGGAAGAAAAACCTCGAGGAATCAAATAAAGGGATGAACTGAATCCATCCCTGCCCCCAGAATCCATGTGGGAAGAGCCAGATCCAAGAGAGGATTGGAGTGTTTCTATATTCAATTAAGTCCTGGGGTTTCCACTTGGGAAACTCAGCTGAATTCCCACAAGAAAATCAAATTATAAATGATGTAATTAGAGAAACAAAGTGTTGGAAGCTGGATATGGAATTCCTACAGATTTGAATATTTATTCATTATATTTAATTAATATTAATTTATATCCAAGGTATTTTCTGGACCCTCATCCCAAAGAACAAACAGAATTCCTGGTTCCAAATTTCAAGGAACTTCCTTAAAAATATTGCCCTGGAGCCCCTGGGTCTGGTTTTGCAGGAATTCTGAAAGAACCTGGAATTTTTTTGACAAATCCTTCCTGAATCCTTGTGCACTTCCCACAGTTTACTGAAGAGGGAGTCTCTGTCCCAGCTAAACCAGATCCCACTAATCCCAACCGGGAAGATTCACTCCTGGATTTGAGAGAGATTTTTTGGGAGTCCAAAATACTTCAATATCCCAAAATGGGTCGATTTCCCAGGAAAATACAAATATTGGAGCATCCACATCCCATTCCAGTCGCTTTTCCATGTTGGGGATATCCCATGCAATTCCTTAAAATCTACCAAATAATTTTTATGGGAATTTTTGTGTCTCTTAATCCATTTTAAAACAACACCACGGAGGTGCTTCCAAGTTTTCACTCCCATTTTCCCTCCTTTCCTTGGATCTGTGTCCAGGAAGGCCTCTCTGTGCCGAGGAGGCCTCACCCATCCCACTGATCCTCAAAGACCCCTGGAGCGGGATCCCTCACCCAGGCTGGATTTTAGGGAAAGGTCCCTCACCCAGGAGCCACTTCCAAGGAGATGGTTCCATGTGAGGAGCCTCCACACCTGAGGAATTTTCCTACCCGAGCATCCCGGGATTGGGGACACTCCGGGACACTCCAGCTGCTCAGGGAGGGAACAAGGACAGAACCACAGAACAGTTCAGATTGGAAAAGACCTCCAGGATCACCCATTCCCACCACGAATCACCTCCAGGGAATCCCAGGAAAGTGGCTCTCCAAACATCCCCCTCAGTTCTAGTCCTGGAATTCCAAGGATCCGGCCAGATGGAGAGCTGGGGTACCAGAACGGCGCCATCACCTACTCAGGGTTTGCTCCCAGTGGGGGGGAAGCTGCAGTAGCTCCTTCTCCATGGATCCCTTCTCCATGGGCCGAGCAGGACGTGGGATCTGCCAGAAACTGGGATCCACCACATCCATGCCTCTGCCCACGGAGCCCCGGGAGCAGGAGGCCTTGGAATTGTAAAGGAAAAGTGTCCATGGAGAAGGACCATGGAAAACCTCTACGAGGTGGGAGAAGCTCCACCTGGGAAGATCCAACCCTGGGAATATGCTGGATGAAGCCAATCCCAAACCCCCACCCCAGAGCACTTCAGATTCCGGCGGCGACCGGGAACATCCCACAGCATTGGAAAAGCGGGCGGGTTTTGAGGGACGCAGCCACATCCTGACCAAGTGTTGGGAATCCACACCTGGATTCCAGCTCATCCCGGCCTGGGATCACCCCCTGAAACCCCTCCTAAGAGTCTCCCCCCGTTCACCTGGAATTCCTTATTTGCCAACTGATTGTTCCCGTTGTTTCATGGATTTTGTTTTCCAAACTCGCTGCTGCTTCCCGAATAAAGGAGGAGCTGCTCCAGCACATTTATTCCTGTGTATCCCTGGAATTTCCACCTGCTGCTGATGTAACCCCGATAAGTGAGGGCTATTCACCGATGCTGCTCCCTGTTCCCGGCACAAATCCCATGGGAAAAGCCACATTTTAAGAGAAATCCCAGAACACTCCCACCCCATCCACTAAGGATGTCGATCCGTGTATCCATCCTAATTAAATTCCAAATTAAAGAGGTGATTCCAGGATATCAGAACCCAAAATGCCCCAAATCTCCCCATTTCCCCTTCAAAAAGTCCCTATTTCCATCATTCCGTGCTTTTATTCCCCTTCCAGGACCTACCTTTTGATCCATTTGTTCCCAGAAAATGGAGTTTTGAGGGATTCCAATATTCAGGAATAGCTGGGATGGCAGATTTCCTCATGACATAATTCCAAGCATTTCAAGTGTCCAAGAAAATCGAGCCCCAAAAAGCCCCGAGGGAAAGAAATTCCAAAGGCACTTTTGGGACTTGGTTTTTAATTCCAAGTAATGGATGTTATTCCTTGATTGGGGGCTGTATTTGAATATTTCTATAATCTTGTATTTTAACCACTGACAATGTTTGTATTTGATCCATTGGATCAGGATTTGATTAATCCATGGGAAGAAATGTGGATGTTTCTATGTATTTCCCTCTTTTAATTGGAATTTTATTGATTATAAAGTGATCATTAATGAAAGTAATTTAGCAACTTGATATTTATAATTTAGAGCTTTATAATTAGATATATTTTATAAACATATTTGCCAACTGCCAATTTCCAGGGATTCCGGATAAAATCACCAAATCCATGGGAGATTCATTTGTATATATTCTATTGTTAATTTATTACGTATTCCCACGGATTAATTGCCACTAATAATCAGATTCAGAGCCCAGAGAATGGGATTTCTCAGGCAGGAAAGGGAAGATTTTCCCTCCTGGGGGGTTTATTTGATATTGATTTGCAAATAAGATGCAAATTATTATTAATATATTTTAAAGATAATGAAAAAATTGGAATAAAAAAATTCAAACCTTCCAATCAAATGCAATTTTAGCCATAATTTTGGGACTGAAATGTTGGGTCATTTCTCACAAAACTTCGCTTTTCCGCAGATCTGCATGGATTTGAAATAAAAGCACTTTGGAATGGCTTCTGGGGGGAAAAACCCCACGAAGATTTCACAAAATAATCCAGAAATTGGAATTAATTGTAGAATTCTTAGCAGCGTGGAACAAAGGATTTAGTGGAGAAACTCAGTGATTTCTGGCTGGAAAATGGAAAAATTCCAGGAAAAGACGACAAAACGTGCCTGTGATCGTCAACAGACTGAGGGGCTCGGGGATATTCCTGAGAATTCGGGGGGAAAACCGGGATAAGGGGCATTAATGAGCCTCTGGAACACCTGGAAGGCAGCGCTTGGCACCTGGACCCCCCCCCCCCGCAGCTCCCGGAGCTCTGGAATGCCGGGGCTGCCATCCTGCATCCCTCTGGAACGCCAGGGGAGTTCTCCTGCATCCCGGGGACGATTCCCAGGGAATTCCTCATTAATTCTTCCCGCCGCCGATCCATCAATCAGCCCCACAAAGGGCACGTGCCCGGAGCAGGTACCGCATTCCCGGAGAGCCACATTCCCGGGGAACACATTCCTGGAGCGCCACATTCCTGGCTCCAAGCTTTCCAGGCCGAGGCTCTGGGCATTCCTTACCTTTCCCTGAGCCTCATCCCTCGGGAAGAGGCTCCTTCCATCCCCCTGTTCCCAAACAAAGCCTCCGGAGTGCGCGATACTTACTGAGGACGGCAAACCCGGAGGAACTTTCCGAACTTTCTTTGTCTGAACTTCTGGAAAAAAAAGGGAGGAAAAGCTGCTTTATAAAGCAGGAATTTTTTTAGGGATCTCAGTGACTTCTCCCCCACTCTGTTCCCAGCAGGATTTTTAGGGATTCCATTGGTTTCTGCCCCAGGATTTTGCCGGCTCGTGCCTTTCCCACTGCAGCGAGCAACAATAATTATAAAGAACAAGCAAAGAAAGAACAAGAAATAAAGAACAAGAAATAAATCCCCAGAAATAATAAGGAATAAAGAATTCCAGGGGGAAAATGCAGGGAAATGGTTAATACTTGGGATGTGGGTGTTACGAGTTGCAGGTTTTGCCTCAGGCTCGGGGAAAACAGGGAATTCTGAAGGCTCGGCGAGGCTGCAATAACGCCCGGGAGCGTCGCTCCGCAGCACTTATTGTGTCCCTTCCCAACCGTCGCTCGGCTAGAGTGGGATTCCTCGGGCAGCAGCGCGAGGCCAGAGGTGCAGGGGTCACTCACCCATGGAGGAGCTGTGCAGAGGCCTCCGGCGCGGATTATTGCTGGGATACTGGTAGTACTGGGAGCCGGGCTTGGACGGGGACAGCGCTCCGGGGGTACCGATGTCCATGTCCCCTCCCAGGAGACTTTGCTGCAAGGGATTCAAGGGAACAGGGATTTGCAGGATCCATCCGTGCGACCTCCCTCATCATTAGCTGCTCATCCCTAAAAATAACCCGGGAAGGAAACCTTCGGGAGCGGAGCGAAACGTGGGAACGGGCGGATCTTTAAAGGGGACACCACCGGAATTTCGCCCGCACCGAACGCCTGGGAAATAGGAGGAATTCGGGGCTTCAAGGAATTTCAGGGACTGTTCAGCTAGTGCTTGGAAAACTTTGGGAGCTCTGCGGGCATGTTTGGAGGGCGTTTTGTAGGGAAGGAAGAGCAGGGATTTAATAATAATGTTAATAAAATTAAAATCATGGAATTCTGCTGCTTCCGTGTGGGTGAAGCAGATCCGTTGTCTTGGGAAAAAATCTGAGAATTAAATCTATCAGGGCTTATAATATATATAAAAATCTCTAAAGTATACATAAAATACATAAAATACATCTAAAAAGCATCTAAAACGTATCTAATATGTAAGATAAGCCCACTAGACAAAAATAGGTAAGAATAGATAAAAGAGATGTAAAGTACATCTAAAAATAGAATATCTGTAAATCTATAGAAAAGGTCTAAGATTTAAAGGAAATATAGAAAAAGGAATATAAATATGGAAAATATATAAAAATATTAAAAATGTGTGGTATATATAATATATATTATATATAATATATATAAATAAATATAAATATAAATATAGAAAAGATATGAAAATCTATATAAATATATAGTATATAAATATACATATGTCTAGAATATATATAGAAATAGATAAAATATATGTAGAATATATAAAGTATTTATTTTATATTTAAAATACATATTATATATAAAATACATATTATATATATCAAATCTATATTATATATAAAATATATCCCATATACAAAATATATACACTTTATATATAATATATATAAAGTATATTTTTAATATATAAAGCATATACCATATACATAAAGTAGATATAAAATATATATACGGCATATATAAAATATATGTAATATGTATAATATATGTCACGTAAATATAAAAAATATATAAAGTAGATATAAAATATATATGTAAAATATAAAATATAATATATATGAAAATATATGTAAATATATAAAAATATATGTAAAATATATCCAAATACATCTAGAATATATATAAAATATAACCCCCCCAGTGGGCTGGACGGGAGGAACGATCAAACCAGGGAAATAGCTGGAATGTCACTAATATTTGGGAACTGGATGCAAAGCACTCCAGAATTCCCAAACCAATTAAGGCTCTGGCACGGTAGCAGCGAGGACCTCACTCCACCCACTTTATTCCCGGGAAACAACGGGATAAACCCCAAGAAACCAGGGATTTCAGGATGGATTTGGAAAATACGGATTTGGGAGAGGATTCTGAGCATTCGCTTCGCTCCAGAATTCGGGAAAACTTCCCGGGAGCATCCTCCCGGGAGCATCCAATCCCGGGGGAAAGTGCCCGGGCACATCCAACCCCAAGGGAAGTGCCCGGCTGCATCCAAGCCCGGGATAAACTGGCCGCGCACATCCAAGCCCGGGCACATCCAAGGCCGGAGGAACTGCCCGGGCAAATCCAAGCTCGGGATAAAGTGCCCGGGCACATCCAGGCCCGGGCACATCCAGACCCGGGCGCATCCAGGCCCGGGAGGCAGTGCCCGTGCCCATCGCAGCCCGGCACGACGGTCCGGGCCGCAGCCAGGCCCGATCGCGGCGCGCAGGGAGCGGCGCCCGGTCCCCGCCAAGAGCCGCCCTCCGCCGCCCCCGGCCCGGGGCCGATCCCGCCCTTCCCCAAGTGCCGCTGGCTCGCGGCGCGGCGGGGCCCGCGTGTGCCCCGCTGGGAGCCATTCACATGCAAATGGCCCCGGGCCCGCGGCGACAGGGTGCCCCCGCTCCCGCGGCTCGCCGGGAGCTGCCGTCCCGGGAACAAAGGGCTCCTTGTTGGCGCCGGGAGCCGCGCTCGGGGCTGCCCCGGTGCCCCCCGAGGGCCCCGGAGCGGGCCGGCAGAGCCCGGGCTCCAGCGGCCCCTTCCCGGCGGGACACGGGGAGCCGGGGCCGGGACACACCCCCCGCAGCCCTTCCGCCCTTCCCGTGGAACAATTCCTGCTGCTGTCCGAGCTGGAGCTCCCCTGGCACGGCCCGAGGCCGTTTCCACTCACGCCACGTCCTCAGCCCGTGTTCTCTCATCCCGTGTCCCCATCCTGTGTCCTCCCAACTCATCTCCTCCCAACTCATCTCCTCTCATCCCATCTCCTCCCGTCCCATGTCCTCTCATCACATCTCCTCTCATCCCATCTCCTCTCATCCCATGGACAAACAGGAGCTGAGGGATTGGGAAAATTGCTTCTGCACCTGCCTCCTGGAGAGCTCCCAAAACCTCAAATCCCATCGTTTTCCCTCCTCTCTCTAATTTCATGGATAATCTCCACCTGCCACGAGGCTGCTCCGGTGATAAACAACACCTGCAGCAGTAAAAAAACCTTGGGAATCTCTCACATAATGCAGAATAATAGGGAATAATAGAGACAGAGGTGCCAGAACTCCAAGGGAAAAGGGAAATGGAGAACAATCTTTGAAAAGAACAGGATTTTTGGGAATGTCTCGGAGTGTTTCTGAAAGAACATGGGCTTATTGTGAGGATTCTCGGAAAATAAATGGGATTTTAGGGAATGCTTTGGAGCACTTCACAATAAATATTGATTGATTGTGAATATCCAAAAATATGGGAATTTAGGGAATGTTTTGGTTCATTTCACAATAAACATTAATTTACTGTGAATATCTGAACTAAAAGGAATTTAGGGAATGGTTGGGATCATTTCACAATAAACATTAATTTACTGTGAATATCTGAAAATAAAAGGAATTAAGGGAATGTTTTGGAGTGTTTCCAAATGAATATCAGTTTATTGTGAATGTTCTCTGGAAATAAAGGGAATTAGGGAATGTTTTGGGTCATTTCACAATAATCATTAGTTTATTGTGAATATTCTCTGGAAATAAAGGGAATTTAGGGAAGGCTTTGGATCATTTCACAATAAATACTGGTTCATTGTGGATATCAGAAAAAAAAGGGAATTTCGGGAATGCTTTGGGCCGTTTCACAATAAGTATGGATTTCTTGTGAATATTCCTGGCAAATAAATGGGATTTTAAGGGATGTCTCAAAGATTTTCCAGGTGAACACTGATTTCCGGTGAACATTGCCTGCAAATGAAGGGAATTTCGGGAATGGTCAGGGAGTGCTGGGCTCGGGAACTCTCCTGCTAAAGCTGGGCCGGGTTTATCCCTGGGGGGGGAAAGGCTGGGAGGCTCGGGATGAATCCCTAAATCCAGCTACTCTCTCCTTCCACTCCGGGACAACTCCAAGCACACCAAGAGCCTTTTCCAAGGCCGGGGGAGGAAAGGAGCAGAAACAGCCACGTCCCCTACGGAGCCCAGCCTTCCTCATCCCAACTTCTTCCTCAGAAAAGGCTCCAGAGGTTTCTATGGGAAAAGAAATCCCAAAGAGGGTTTTTACAGGACAAGGAAACACGGGGAGCAAGTTTAAGGCGGTCATTTTGGGAGGCACCAGTTGGTTGGTTCTTCCCGAACTGGGAATTGCTGGGAATTCGGCTCCCGGTGCCTCAGGGTTCCCAGCCAGCATGGGGAGGAAAACTGGGATGAAAATATACCTGTATTTATCCCAAAATCCTATAAAAGGGCCAACAAGCTCTGGTCCAAAAATTCAAACCTTTCCAAAGCACCCCCATTGGATTGCAGGGCCTCCCCACTCCCAATCCCAGCTCTGGAAATTCGGGAATCTGTTGGGATCAGAGTCACCATTTCGGGAGAAAGGAGAAGGTTTCAAAGGGACCTCATAGAGGGTTTCATGTCCAGAGATTGGAATTGGAGCCAAAAACAATTCCCAAAATTATCAAAATAAACAACAGAGCAAAATCCTAAATTCCCAGGATTTTCCCCCCGGAGCCCCAGCCCTGGATTTTTCATTAATTCCAATCTTTTACCTTTTTTTTTATGGTGTGTCTGCACCTTTGTGGGTTTTTTTTTTCCTGCTGCCTCCAAAACGGGAATAACGAGACAAAGAGTTAAAGCTGGAGAGGGAGAGAATCCACCAAATCCATCCAGATGGAAAGGAAATTATCCCTCCTGGAAAAACCCAACTGCTGCTTCTGCTGCAAAGCTCAGGGGCTGCTTTTTAAAGGAAAATTATGTGGATTTCACTGGAATATTTGTCTCGGGTTGAAGAGGTCGAGAAAAATCTGGAAATCATCCTTAGAAAAAGCTGGAATATTTTTCCTTTGTTGTAGAAACAGGTGGGATTCGAGTGCGGAATTTTACTAATGAAATTAATTCAGATTAAAGGGAACCTGGAATCAAAAATCACAGATCAGGGAAAAATCCCTGCATTTTGAATTCCTGGTATATTTTTTGTTGGCATCGATCCGGCATCAAGCCTGGAATGTCACAGGCGGGAGGAAAATGGGATGAGTCGGGAACAGCTGAAGCTCCTTCCCTGAACGGCTGCCAAGGGTTGGGGTCGGAGCATCCCGGGGGTCCGGCTGCTTCCCGGGCCCCTCTGAGCCCCGGGATGCAGCTCCAGGGACAGCTGGGCCCTTCTCCCAAAGCCTCGGAGGAGCTGCATCCGGGCAGGATCAGGGAAAAGCACCGGATCACATCCCTGGTTTCTCCCAGCTGGGCAGGGGGAGGATGAGGAGCAGGGATGCATGTTGGGAATCCCGGGATGCTCCGCACCTGCAGGTACTCAGGTCCCCAGGTCGGCTGGAGTGGGAATGTGGGAGCAGGAATATCCACTTTCCAATGGAGAGGTGGCCCTGTGAGGCTGGAAGTGCCTCCAGAGAGAGCAGGAGGCTCCCAGCAATTCCCGCTCCCCTTCCCACACCTGGATCCGCCGGGAACACCGACACCTTTCCTGCTTTTCTACCCATTTGTCAGGAGATTGAGCCCC